ACCAATAATAAAAGTTTTGATATGGATACATTCCTTGTTACATGTAGAAAAATAATACCCCTCAGAGTTTTCATCAGTTTTGTTTTTTTATAAGTTATTCCTAAATTTAAAAAAAAGCCCAAGTATGCCATCATAGGTAACCACTGCTCCTATGATGACATAGGGGAGGATGGGGCTGATAAGGATCAAGGGTAACTTGATGATTTCATTTAACTTTAGAGTCTTCCCTCAGAAAAGCCAGAAATTACTCGGAACCATTCTAATTTACCATATCATGCTACACAGCAGCATTTTAAAGTTTCGCACATGCGCATAGGATATATTGTGTTTTATGTATTTTTTGGACCAAAATAAAAAACTTTTGGATCATCGCTTTCTTTTTACTTTACTTAAAGATAAGTTTTTCTTATAAAAAAATAAGGTTTTTCCAACTCATCCATATAATAACACACCTAACTCGTCAAGTATGCCATCATGGGAAGAAGTCATCATTTTCATTAAAACAAGCTGTGTCTGCCTTGTTCAGAATATAAATTTAAAGTAAGTATTCCACTAAATGCACAAAGCTTGGATATAAAATGCATGTAACTTCCTTTTCTGCACAGTTATTAATAAAATCACAATTTTGAATATATGAAGGGAATAAAAATACAACAGCACATCCCAAAATCAGTTTTTGTTGATTATAAAAACAATATTTGTGCACAAGGAAAGCATTTTCACTAAAACTAATGTAAAGTCAGTATAGTCATGTAGGTCTAATCACTTTTTCACCAAAACCAATTTTTATGGAAATATGACCGGTATGCCATCATAGGCGCTATGCCATCATAGGCGCCTTTGCCCTATTTTCTTTATTATATTTTTGAAATACAGTATTTTCTTTATATTTTTGAAACACATCAGTATTTTCTTTATTATATTAGGAGATGTTGTATCAGTCAATGAAGTTTTGCAATAATTTGCATGTTTTATCTGAACTGAAAATTATACCTGGCAATCCTGTTGTTCAAGTATGTTTTACATTTTTATTTTTGAAAAATCTCAGAACATAGTGGTCCCACAATAAAAGATTTTTTTTTATGCATAAAAAATGCTATACTTTAAAAATTTCTACTTTAAAATTACGTTTTTGGCGGATGTTTTTTAATTTATTAAATATATGCTTTATATTGTTTTCCATTATTTATAGGGAGAGAATAGAGCGATTTTCGTTTTAAAAAAATAACAAAACGAGTTTGAATCTTTACAAACATAAATTTAAAATACAAAAATAATGTGATTACATATTATTGGAAGCAAATACACTTCTTTGTGGTCTGTTTTACACATAGACTTCAATGAAGTGAATTTTGTTGGACATAGCACTCTCTTTCTTGCACACACCCACGTACACACAATAATAATAGTAATAATAATATTGATAATAATAATAATAACAGCAGTAGTTATGATAATATTAATAAGTTTATTAACTTTTTTTTATATAGCTGGCTTTGAAGACACGCGCCATGGATGTTGTTCCAATAGTACAAGCAGTATATAAACAGTTGTTGCAGTTGTAGACTGATGAGCCCTCAACTAAACCTTTCGTCTAAATTTTTTTAATAATTTGTGTATTAGTAAATTAAAGAATAAACTCCTATAAATTGTTTTGAGATTTTGAATTTGGTTACCTCAAAGACAGTATGAAAATGTCAAATGCCACTAGTTGTAGCTTAATTATATAATTAAAATATGGCTTAGCGAATGAATTCAGTAAGTAATATGTGTTTAGATTGCCTGAAGTCAAACAGCAAAAGATGGATAAACGTGCTAACCCACGCGTAACAACAGGCGTAATATGCTCCTAGGATTTTTTAGTGCGGCGAATAAACTTCAGGCATTAAGGGGCTACACCCCTCCATCTCCTCCTCGTTGTTTTGAATCCTAATGCTTGTACAAAAAATTTTAATTATATTTCAATAAAATGTAAACAGTTTTCTTGGTAATTGTTACTGTTAAAATCTTTTTGTTAATAACTCTTATGTCCAAAAACATTCTTTGCTTCTAGGTGTAGTTTAGATGAAAATGTAACGTCAAATGTGCACATATGTATTATAGGTAATACGTTTTTAAATCCATTGCTACCTAAATTATAAATTTTTTAAATTTTTAATGCAGCACTAATATATCTGCAAATAATAAGCTGCTTTAAACAAAAACACGCTGTAAGAATTATTGGACACGTGAATCATTTCTCACACACTAAATTTTTTTTTAACAAATTAAAAATAATCAACGTATTTCAATTTAATCTTAATCAAATTTTTATATTTATGTTCAAAGTAGATAACAAAACGGCACCCATCTTATTTAACTTTATACAATTTTCAAAAAGTGTATATATTTAATAAAAACACATTATTATGCTACTAAGTTCTCGACCGCAATAAAAAAACCTAAAAAACGATACACGCTATTGAATAATGAGTTAAAAACTATTCGTTCCCTTTACCAGTTTAAAAATTAAGGAATTAATCTAGATCTTAAGCACTTATCTAAGTTAACATCTTCGTTAATAACTTGACCCGATGGTGCAATGAAGTGTTTTGACCTACCTTTAGGAGACAATGCTACCCAGACCAACAATTTAGGTTAAGCAAAATATATTAATAAATGACAACAAATTCTTCTGAAAATTTCAAATAGTTTCAAGATTAAATCACTTGTTTATTACTTCTTTTTTACATTTTTTTTTTTTTAAATATCTATTTTATTTTAGAGTTTGTTGTTAAACCTATATTTCCTATTCCTTTCAAATGTTTCAGAAAAACTCATAATCAAAAATAATTCTCAAAATTGTTATAATTTGGTTCTTAAATTATTTTTTTAGTTGCTTTTGGACAATGGATCTTTATTGGCTGTTGTTGATACTTTTCCTTTTTTTATACTTGAATAATACATTAAAAAATATAATAAAAGATATACACATAAAAAGTTAAAAGATTTGAATTACAACAATCACTCAAGAAGTATTCGCATCTTATATAAAACCAGACAAATCTACACTAACTCAACTATATTTTGCATTCATAAATAGTTATTTATCTTATGGATGTATATCTTGAGGTTGTTCAAATACAAATCTAAACTCGACTGTCTCCTTAAACAACAGAATCATGCAGCACGCATTTTTCATTTTCAAAATCGCTTCACAAATGGTAAACTTCTTCAGAAAAGCAGAGGGCACTTGATAGTTATGAATTAAATATTTTCAAAATTACACAATTTATGTTTTAACATCAGTCAAAAAAAAACGGTTTTCGAAAATATTTTCCATAAAACATTAAACCGATACAACACGCGATCTACCGGAAGATTTAAAAAACCTTTCCGTAAAAACTTACGAGCTTTGCCATTTCCCATAGTGGCCCAATGCTATGGAACCATTTTACAAGCCTGAGTGGTAAACTTAAAGAAGCCAATACCTCTCAAAAATTTAAAAAGAACATAATCGAACTTATTGCCAATCAAAATTCTTTACATGATTTTTTCTAACAATACACTTTTATTTCCGATTTTTATAACCAGATGATAAGATTTTATCTTCTTCAGGTTCTCCGGTCTCGTAACTATTATAAATAATGAAATGTACTTGTAACACCTGACCCGATTAAATCTGGACTAAAAGAAAAAATTTAATAACTTTTTAACGGATAAAGATTTTTTATTTCGGAAAAAAGATAATTATAGATAAAAAAATATTATCATTCAAATAAAAAAAAATTATAAGTTTTGGATTCCATTTCGCCGAGCTGCATCAACTCGAGTAAAAGACAATCTTCCAAATCGTTCTACTATATCAGGATCTAAGTTTTTAAAGCAGTAGTCAATTCTATTACGAAGTTGTTCCAAATTTTCAGCTTGCCAGCATTTAGCATAAACTGTTTGTTTGATTTCACTCCAAAAATCTTCAATCGGTCTAATTTCTGGAGTGTTAGCAATATTTCTCTCTTTTGATAAAAATTCGATGTTTTTTGAATTTAAGAATGCTTGAACTTTTTTTGAATAATGTGACGTTCTAATTCAGGCCAGAAGATTACATTATCATTTTTATGGTACTGTTCAATGAATGGAATTAATCTAGATCTTAAGCACTTATCTAAGTTAACATCTTCGTTAATAACTTGACCCGATGCACAGTCGGCCAGTAGGTGGACAAAACTAAAAAAATTTATGTCTGAAAACTGAAATTCTTTTTAAAAAGTTTTTACTTAGATACATTGAGGACCTTAAAAATAATTACAATAAATTAAAAAAATATATATTCTCAACAAAAACTCATTTCAAGTAAAATTTTTGCAAAAAAAAAAATGGCGATAAAGTGAGAAAATGTAGTTTTTAAAAAAGCAAAAGTGTGTAATAAATTTTTAGTATATTGGTTAACTGTTTTTATTAACATATCAAATAATTGTTAATATATAAAATTTATAAAAAAAAAAAAGTTAAAAAAAAATTTTAAACCAGTTTTAGATATATTTTTTGGTAAAAATTGGACTTTTTTTTAAATTTTTTTTGAAAAGACAACAAGGAAAAATTTGTGCTCTATTTTGCCTTTATCTCTTATACATATTTTGAAGGCTGTAGAAATAGTGACATTATTCATTTCTTGTTTTTATATTGTTTTATATTGTTGTTGTTTAAACTTATTGTTATTTCATTTAGAAACTAACATTGTTTAAGATATAATTATAATTGAGAACAACAACTAACTTTTGTTTATGTTAGTTTCTTATGCATTCTATGAAATTTTAAAGAAACACTGGTATTTCAAAGATTGAAGGTCATTGAAGGTCCCAGCGAAGCAATTGCAATTGCATTATTCAACAGTCACCAGCTTCACCATCCTCCAAACTCGATTGACACTCATTCAGCCTTCTCAAAACACAAGGCACCTAAAATGGATCGCCCCCACATCGGTCAGGATATCTCAGAAGAAGAGTGGGCAAACTTTATTAGTCGCTGGACATTGTTTAAGAGATGTACAGACATCAGACAAGAAGAGATGACAGCACAGCTGTTTCAGTGCTGTGAGGACGACCTTGGAAATCAACTCCTAAAAGAAAATCCCATGATAATTAATGAAAACGATGAGGCATTTCTAAAAGCAATGAAAAAACTGGCCGTTATCCCAGTAGCCACTTGCGTCAGAAGAGCAGAACTCCTTCAAATGAGACAGGGACACAACGAAAGTATTCGGTCATTCTATGCAAAACTGAAAGGCAAGGCTGCTACTTGCAACTACACTGTTCAATGCCACTGCCACCCACAAACAACTGTTGATTTTACCGATGTTATCATACGAGACATTGTTGTTGCTGGGCTATCAGATACTGACATCCGCAAAGACGTACTTGGATGGGTCTCCCTTGACACAGCCTCCGTCACAGATATCATTGCTTTTATAGAGGGTAAAGAAATGGCACGAAATGCACTAGGCTGTAGTTCAACAACAGCAAGTGTATCAACTTTCAGGAAACAAAACAAGAGCAATACACAGAGTAGTAAAGGGACCAATATAACAGCCAAATGTCCAGATTGCTCAGAATCTTACAGTTTATTTACAGAAACATCCAGAGGATGGAACAAAAAACCCCACAAGCTGTGTCTAGACTGTTGGAAGAAGCTCAGATCTCGCACTTCTAAAATTAACAACAGAATCATCCCAAATGATAAGAAATCGAATGCAACCAAAGATGCTGAGGCAGGCGGACTTGTGTTAAAGTTAAGTGCAATTGAGCATTCAAATAAAAAAATTAGATCACAAATGAAGACCAATGTGAAACGACCATGCACAGGAATAAACCATCACATATTTACCCATGATGGATGGGCCACAGCTCAATTGCTTGTTCATCCTACAATTCAGCTGCGTGTGACTACTAACAAATCAGACTATGTCGCATTTGGTATTCCATTTCCTCCTATTATACCAAAATATATACAAGTTATTACAGATACCGGTGCACAGTCCTGCTTATGGTCTAGGAAAGGGTTTGACAGTGCAGGCTTTAATGCAAACAATTTAATACCTGTGAAACATAGCATGTCGGCCGCAAATAAAACCCAATTTCGTATAGATGGTGCAATTCTTTTACGTCTCGAAGGACGACAACCTAATGGACACAAAGTTGAATGTGCAGTAATGGTTTATATAAGTCCAGACGCAAACGGATTCTACCTATCTAAAGAAGCAATGACCCAACTGGGTATCATCTCTAAGGACTTTCCAGAGATAGGCAGTGCCCTCCACGGAGCTATTAACTCAGGCCCTATAACTATAGGGACCAAAACATCCAGTGAAAATAATAGCTCACACGTGTGCAATTGCCCCAAAAGAAGTCTCCCAGCAGGTACACCCACCAAACTTCCATTTGTCTGCTGTCCTGAAAACAACGAACGGATGAAAGCGTGGCTCCTTGAAAGATACTCTGCTTCAACATTCAACACATGTCCACACCAGATTTTACCTGATATGGAGGGACCTCCAATAAGTATTTTAATTCAAGAAAATGCCAAACCAGTTGCAGCATTTACTCCAGCCACCATACCAATCCATTGGCAAGACCAGGTGGAAAAGGATTTAATTCGTGATGAAACTCTTGGAGTCA